ATTTTTAACTGGATTATCTGTAATATCCAAGACTAAATATTGAAATAATTACTGAAAGTTTGGTTTAATAAAACTTGCTTCAATATTTTGTCATATGTATATTACATGAGTTATTCTGTTTTTATAGGATAGGTAACTTGCTTTTCATAGCGGAAGAATATGATCTTAAAAACAATCCAGGTAAAATTTCCTGTATCTCTCTCTCACTGGGTAGGTCCTTTCCTCAGTGGGCATCCTCTTTGCATTGTAGAAGGGGGGCTCCAGCTTCATGTCCTCCATGGTCCCAGCCTGTGGGCTTGTGCATGGGGTGGGAGGGAGAGTTATCCAGCCAGTCCTACCCTCAGGCTGGCAGTGGCAGCAAAAGGCAGGAGAACTAGTTTACTGTGAGGACTAGGGGGTGTACTGTGGGACTTCCAAATAACATGGTCTCACATCCCTCATGGAGGGTTGGGTAGCTCATTCCTGACCACCATGCTGCTGCTGTCTCCCTCCCTCTGAACCTCTGGTGCCATGTTTAAGAAATCTGTGTAATAACAGGCCCCAAAGATTTTATACTATCTTTTCTTTTGACAGTTCTATAGTTTTACATTTCACTTTCAGATCTATGATTTGATTTGGTCCATTACTTTTAACTCATTCTAAGGTTGCCTGGCATTCTGAATTGTAGGTTTTGCTGAAGAGTCTATGCCCAACCTGTTTTCCACTAACTAAAGCAAATCTGTGAAGAGACTCACATTTACTGGACTTCTCTTCATGCATAGAACCTTAGAGATCTCTCTTGGTCATTATGGGAAACATGTACAGTCAGATTTCTTCATCCACTGATATCTGCATGGGCTGGACAGTGGAAAAATCCTTTTTCTCACTTATGGAAAGCATTAAAAATTCCTAATCATTTTTTTCCTTCTGATTGTAACTTATACCTAAAATTTGGCCTTGTCCAGGTTTGTCTGACCCAAACGATCACTCTCCAGATGTAGAATCCTGAAGATGTAGGATTAGTGCCTGAATAATAGTTTTGATTATGAATATTTAATCAAAGGCTTTGGGCAAGAGTGATGAATACTACCTTTACTTTTAGTCTACTTATATTCTCTTAATTTTTATCCCTGCCCCCTACTGAATATTTTTAGTGTAATTTTTATTTGACTCCTTTTTAAATATAATTTTTATTTTGTCTCTTTTTTAAAGATAAATTAAGTTTAATACAGGAAATGTCCTGTGTACACAAGTATACACCAAATAGCATGGCGGCAAATAAAACCCAAACCAGAAATACTGGCATGACAGAGACAATACAATTCTTTTGCCTTTGTTCTCAATCCTCTTTCTATAGATTTATTAGTTGAAACCATACTGAATTCTGTAATTTGCAGCTTGACATTTATCTACTTACCTACCTATCTATCCCCCTATACATCCATCTATCCATCTGTTTACCCACAGTCAATTTTAACCAGACATCCATTAACCAAAGTCATGGTTTAGAAGAATGACTTAGACCCCACTCCAAGCAAAAGTGTAAGTTGGTACAGCTTTTAAATACATATATGTATGTATTTAAGAATTTCAAAAAGTTTCCATCCTCTAGCCCAGTGATAAATTTCTGGAGTATTTCCTAAGAAAACAATTTTAAAATATGGGCACAGATTTCTGTGCACAAAAATACACACTGCAGGGGACCAGCAGTTAGCGTAATGGCTGTGTCGCTGGACTCCCACGTAGTCGACCGTGGTTCGTGTCCTGGATCTGGTGGCTTAAAACTCACGCCGGGCACGTGTGCGTGCCCAAGATCCCGAGAGGAGAACGGAAGAGAAGAGATTGTGGTGTGGCCATCCCACCGGGGGGTGATTTCTTGCTTTCTGTCTCTCTGTCTTTCTCTGTCTGGCGAGCGCACATGGCCTATAGCAAAAACCTCTCCAAAAAAAAAAAAAAAGAAAGAAAGAAAAGAAAAAGAAATACACACTGCAGCATGATTTAAAATGACAAAACATGGCAAGAACCATAAGGGGATGACTTGACAAATGAATTTGAATAGCATTTTGCATCAATTAAACTTTAATGAAAGTTATTTGACACATTATTAAAACAAAACAGCAGGATATAAAATGATATACACAGTATGGTCCCAACTATTTATATAAAACAAGGAAATAAAAAAAAACACTAACCATGTTATCTCCCAGTGGTGGGATAATGAATGATTATTAGCTTATTACCTATGCTTGTCTGTCTTCCAAGTTTTCTACAATGAACAAGAATTACTTTCATAATAAAAACAGAAAAATTTTTATTTAAGGATTTAAAAAGTTACATACAAGCCAGGGCCAGTGGATGATCTTGTCCAGTCTTAAGGCAATGAATATAAACTGGAGAATGTTGACAGAACACAGGATTTCTAACTAAAATTAAAGAGAAGAATCAGTTAAACAAAGTAAAAGTTGTATCCAGTACTGCAGTTATTATGTGAACACACTAAAAGGCAATGCAAATTATGGAACAGTGTAACTTTGATTCCCTTACACTGGATACCTGATGTTTGGCACCAGAGATGTACAGCAGTGCCCTGCCAAGGAGAAACATGCCCTGGCCTCCTGCCTCATCCCTTCCCTCTGCCTTGCCCTTCCTGCTAGTTGAGGCCTGAGTACTGCTTGATCAGATGATGACTTCCTTTCCAGATGCATCAGGAACAGAGGCAATCTTGGGACCAGCAGTTAGCATAATGGCTATGTTGCTGGACTCCCACGTAGTCGACCATGGTTCGCGTCCTGGAGCCGGTGGCTTAAAATTCACGCTGGGTGCGTGCGCGTGTGCATGTGTGCCCAAGATCCTGAGAGGAGAATGGAGGAGAAGGGATTGAGGCGTGGCCATCCCCGCTGGGGGCTGATTTCTCGCTTTCTGTCTCTCTGTCTCTGTCTGGCGAGCACACACGCTCTATAGCAAAACAAAACAAAACAAAACAAAACAAAAAAACCTCTCCCAAAAGAACAGAGGCAATCTGCAGTGTAGCCCCCAAGGCCCCCAAGTTCCTGCTCCCATCAAGCTGTCTACTTTTAACCAACCTAGAACTTCCTTCTTCTTATACCCAGAACTTGGCCTTGCACCTCACCTCTTCCTTCTGGCTTCTTGAGGGCCCTGTCACATCAAGACATCAATTACAGATCTTTACTACATCTTTAATCTTGCCTGTTCCACTGATACTTCCCAGAGGCCCAGAAACAAGTTACCTCCTTCATACTAAAATCAAAAGCAATTCCCAGCCCAAGTAAGCCCACTCTTCCCTTGATTCAGTATGCCTCTGAGCCTTAGCTCTCTGAGTTCCGTGAGACGGTGATGGACACTGAAGACCCCTTGCTTCATCTGACATTCCACCTCTCCTCACTGTGATCTGGCCTCTGTTCCCACAACCACCAGAAAACTACTGTCACCAATAACCGGGAGGCAGCAGACAGTGGATACTGACCATTCTTTTCTCCTACACCCCTCCTCCTGGGCTTCTAGGATCCCATCACATAGTCTTGGCCTCCTCCGAGTGCTCTGACAATTCCTTCTCAGTTTCCTTTTCCTCTCCTTAAATGGTGATGCCATGAGGGCCTTAAACTCAGCCTTCTCTTCCCACTTTAGAAAGACACACACAAACATCTACATACTTTCCCTCACTCACTCTACCCTGGGATGGGAGAAAAGAAATTTCAGTTGTGGCCCAGGCTTGCAGGACCTCCTAGTAGTTGGTTCTCAAATCTATTTCCCACCTAACCTTCCTGCTATACACCAGATGCCGATGTACACATTCCACGTGGCTCTCTGAGAGATACCTCAAATGAAGCCACTCCCCAATGGAGTTCAGTATCCTCTCCCCTTTGACCCCTGCTATTCCCCTTCCTGTACCCTTCCATATCACTGCAAGGCTGATTTCTCGCTTTCTGTCTCTCTGTCTCTGTCTGGCGAGCACACACGCTCTATAGCAAAACAAAACAAAACAAAACAAAACAAAAAAACCTCTCCCAAAAGAACAGAGGCAATCTGCAGTGTAGCCCCCAAGGCCCCCAAGTTCCTGCTCCCATCAAGCTGTCTACTTTTAACCAACCTAGAACTTCCTTCTTCTTATACCCAGAACTTGGCCTTGCACCTCACCTCTTCCTTCTGGCTTCTTGAGGGCCCTGTCACATCAAGACATCAATTACAGATCTTTACTACATCTTTAATCTTGCCTGTTCCACTGATACTTCCCAGAGGCCCAGAAACAAGTTACCTCCTTCATACTAAAATCAAAAGCAATTCCCAGCCCAAGTAAGCCCACTCTTCCCTTGATTCAGTATGCCTCTGAGCCTTAGCTCTCTGAGTTCCGTGAGACGGTGATGGACACTGAAGACCCCTTGCTTCATCTGACATTCCACCTCTCCTCACTGTGATCTGGCCTCTGTTCCCACAACCACCAGAAAACTACTGTCACCAATAACCGGGAGGCAGCAGACAGTGGATACTGACCATTCTTTTCTCCTACACCCCTCCTCCTGGGCTTCTAGGATCCCATCACATAGTCTTGGCCTCCTCCGAGTGCTCTGACAATTCCTTCTCAGTTTCCTTTTCCTCTCCTTAAATGGTGATGCCATGAGGGCCTTAAACTCAGCCTTCTCTTCCCACTTTAGAAAGACACACACAAACATCTACATACTTTCCCTCACTCACTCTACCCTGGGATGGGAGAAAAGAAATTTCAGTTGTGGCCCAGGCTTGCAGGACCTCCTAGTAGTTGTTTCTCAAATCTATTTCCCACCTAACCTTCCTGCTATACACCAGATGCCGATGTACACATTCCACGTGGCTCTCTGAGAGATACCTCAAATGAAGCCACTCCCCAATGGAGTTCAGTATCCTCTCCCCTTTGACCCCTGCTATTCCCCTTCCTGTACCCTTCCATATCACTGCAAGACATCACAGCAGCCTACTTACCCAAACTGCAAACTTGGGAAACACCCTATCTTCTTTCCCCACATTCTCATACTCAGTCACCAAACTTTGTCTACTCTACCATCTAACTTCTCTTGAATCCTCTGCCCCCTCTTGGTCCCGATCATGATGGCCTCCTCCTCTTTACTACCAATTTCCTCAAACCACTTCAGCAGCCCCCTTACTAGCCTTCCCACCTCCAGTCTTAATGGTCTTCTGCTCCCAAATGCCCACCAGGCCTCTCTTCTGGTGACAGTATTCGCCACTGTCTACAGAATGAAATTGTGACCTGACCCAAGGATGCTCAAGAGTTCTCAGTTCACAGGCCATTAGTGACACAGACCTCAGACCAAGATGTATCTAACAGTTTCATTTATTTAAGTGACTAGATCTAAACTTAATAAGTATTTCTGTCTTAAGTAACCACCATAAAAAATTCATATAAACCAAAAGCAAATTTTTTTTTGGGGGGGGGAGAGAGGTTTTTGCTATAGGGCACATGCGCTCGCCAGAAAGACAGAGAGAGAGACAGACAGAGACAGAAAGTGAGAAATCACTCCCCAGAGGGGATGGCCATGTCACAATCCCTTCTCCATTCTCCTCTCAGGATCTTGGGCATGCATGCACATGTGCCCAGCGTGAGTTTAAGCCACTGGGTCAAGGACTTGAACCGTGGTCCACTACATGGAAGTCCAGTGACATAGCCATTATGCCAACTGCTGGTCCCGCAAATATTATTTTTATTTCATTCATAAGTAACTTCAACTAACTCCTGGTGGAATGTGTATTCCCGTTAGGTAGTACACAACTTCCCAAACCTCGGAATTAGATAAGGTACTTCCACTCTCATTACCTCTTCTTCACCCCAATTTTCACACAACATAATCTTTTAATTATAGCTACTGAAAACCCAACTACTCAAAGATAGGATGTCATCAGAAGGAATGTAGTGTGATCCAATAATAAACCCGTAAACTCTTTCAAGCTAGGAGCTTCTATGGTGTCCCAAGAGATTGCAGGTGTCATTGTTCAAATGTTCACTATCCCCTGGTGTCTGTGAATCACAGGGTGCCTAGGCTCTACAGCACATGCTTTGAGGGGCTGAGGATGCACCCCACCCAATTCAGCCCCATGTCTGTATAGACCCACTGTCCCCCACTCCAACAGCTGCCTTCTACCAGCTGCTCTAGTCATACCTGAGCCACTGTGGCCACTAGGCTAATGGGTATCCTTATGCCTGGATACCTTAGTGTGCCTGAAAAATGCCATCTCTCTTCCCAGGGTGCACTGGTAGAGCCCGGCTCCTCTTCAAACCTCCATCTGAGCCTCTCCTAGGCCTCACAAGTTAAAGCAGGTACTCCTCTTCCTGTAACACAAAAACCTGGTCCTTCCCCAGGTAGGAATGCCAAGAGTATGATTACATGAGAGCTCACTCTCTAGAAGAAATGCCCAGTGCAGACTGGCCCTGAACATGCTTTTGCTTCCTAAGAAACAATGTTCCAAACATCTGCATGTTTCCTGCACATTCTTCTCTGCCCCTGTCTGATAGTATGTAGACAATACTGTGAGTACTGCTCAGTCTAGGCAGTGCTCTCCCTTCCTGGTCCCAGAAGGCTTTGCTTCATCACTGTCCTTCTTGCTGGATGCCTTTCCCTCACACCTATGCACCTACCAAGGCTCACCCACCCCACCCACTCTCCATTTCTAAATGTTCTCTCCAACCCAAATGCAGTTACCTTCTGCCACTTTTTACCCTCACAGCCCCCAAACAAGGCCTCTAGAGCCTGTGCTAGCCTCTGCCCCTATCAATCAATGCTCAGCTTCAGCCCTTAGCTGCTAGGTCATTAAGTGCCCAGGCTGTGGGGTCATGTTGACTGAGATAGAAGCCTGGCTGTGCCCTGCTATGTGGGATCTGAACAAATTTCATACCCTCTGTGGGAAGCAACTGCACCTACCTCACAGGGCAGCTGTATTTACTAAGATCCTCTCTCTTTCATGTGAAGTGCTGGCACACAGTAAATGTTCAATAAATGTTACCTGCAATTATGTTCATTACTAGTAATAACATCACTAGTCATGGTGCTTTATTCATCTGTGTATGTCCTATGCTTAGGAAAAAGGGGTTTGACATATAGTGAATACTTGATGAATAAACAACATGGGCACATCAGAATAAGCTAACCAGGGAGCAGGTGACATGTGAGATCACAGACTCTGAGGGGATGAGATAGGTAGTTTTATGTGTCACCTTCGCTGGGCTATAGTATCCAGTTCAAACACTAAGGTAGGCTTGTAGTGAATGAATTATATTGACTTTAAATAAAGGAGACTACCCTGGATACTGTGAGTGGGCCTCATCTAATACACTGAAGACTTTAAGAGCAAAAATGAGGTTTCCAACAGAGAAAGCCTGCCTTGGGACTCCAGTGTCAACTCCTGCCATATCTCCAGCCTGTCTACTGCCCTACAGATTTCATACTTGCCAGCTCCTATGATCACATGATCCAGTTTCTTAAAATTAATCAATATAGGGACCAGCAGATGGAGTAATAGTTACATCACTGGATTCCCACATAGTTGACTGCAGTTCAAGTCCCAGACCTGGCAGCTTCAAACTCATGCTGGGCACGTGTGTGTGCATGCCCAAGATCCCGAGAGGAAAACGAAGGAGAAGGGACTGCGGTGTGGCCATCCCCTCTGCGGGGTAATTTCTCCCTTTCTGTCACTCTGTCTTTCCACCAAGCATACATGCCCTATAGCAAAAACCTCTCTTAAAATAAAAATCAATCTATCTATATATATCTCTATCTACCCTATTGGCTCTTTGGAGAAGATTGACTGATGCATGTGGATAGGTAAAGACATGAAGCTGGGAGAAGATAGATAGCCTGGGTGAAAAACCGATGTTCTAAGTCAAGAAAAAAAATTTTTTTTCCCCATCTTTTATTTCCTTATACAGTATACCAAGATGTAGGGTTTGACATATAGTGAATACTTGATGAATAAACAACATGGGCACATCAGAATAAGCTAACCAGGGAGCAGGTGACATGTGAGATCACAGACTCTGAGGGGATGAGATAGGTAGTTTTATGTGTCACCTTCGCTGGGCTATAGTATCCAGTTCAAACACTAAGGTAGGCTTGTAGTGAATGAATTATATTGACTTTAAATAAAGGAGACTACCCTGGATACTGTGAGTGGGCCTCATCTAATACACTGAAGACTTTAAGAGCAAAAATGAGGTTTCCAACAGAGAAAGCCTGCCTTGGGACTCCAGTGTCAACTCCTGCCATATCTCCAGCCTGTCTACTGCCCTACAGATTTCATACTTGCCAGCTCCTATGATCACATGATCCAGTTTCTTAAAATTAATCAATATAGGGACCAGCAGATGGAGTAATAGTTACATCACTGGATTCCCACATAGTTGACTGCAGTTCAAGTCCCAGACCTGGCAGCTTCAAACTCATGCTGGGCACGTGTGTGTGCATGCCCAAGATCCCGAGAGGAAAACGAAGGAGAAGGGACTGCGGTGTGGCCATCCCCTCTGCGGGGTAATTTCTCCCTTTCTGTCACTCTGTCTTTCCACCAAGCATACATGCCCTATAGCAAAAACCTCTCTTAAAATAAAAATCAATCTATCTATATATATCTCTATCTACCCTATTGGCTCTTTGGAGAAGATTGACTGATGCATGTGGATAGGTAAAGACATGAAGCTGGGAGAAGATAGATAGCCTGGGTGAAAAACCGATGTTCTAAGTCAAGAAAAAAAATTTTTTTTCCCCATCTTTTATTTCCTTATACAGTATACAAATATGTATACCAAGATGTAGAGTTAAAGATCAATCTCTTCCTAACAAAGGATAAAAAACTGACATTGGAAAAACTGACCAAACAGAAATCTTGGCTGGCTCCATAGCACAGTGGTTAAGGGAGCTACATCCCACGTGGCCAACTAATCTCAACCCTGACAATGTATGCCCAAAACTCTGACAGGAAGGAGGAGTGGAAGAAAAAGGACTGTGGCATGAGCAGACCCAATTGGAGTGTTTTCTCTCTCTCTTTCTCTCTCTCTCTCTCTCTCGGCCTCTATCTGTTAAAATATATATAGAAAGCTCACCTCTAGTGACCTGTCATGTCGAAAGCCCCAAACACAGGCTGCAACAGATACCGGGGAAACAAAGAAGAGTGGCATGAAGACCAGCAGCCAGAAATGGCTTCCTCTTTCGATCCTGTCACAGACCAGAACTTCGAACATCAACAGGAGCAAGTGGATGCATACTGCAATTAACATGGCTTTGAACTCCACGCACGTTTCTCCTTCTGCTCTAAAATGGGACAGAAGAAGTAATACCCTCAGTTCAGAATCTCCGTTATAGCAGGCAGTTCATGGCACGTACCAACATATGTTGATCCTTCAAATTTTACTTGATAATTTGACAACATGCAAGTGAAAATCAGGTACGAAGCTCACTTAAGCCTAAGAAGCAATATTTCAAACATCAAAGAACTAGCACATGACAAGAAATCAACATTATGACAGACTCAGACTTTAATGTTTTAATTGTATAAGGATATTCTCACAATAGTCACAACTGGTTTTTCCTGACAATATTCATAAATACTTTTGTTCATAACTTTAAATTCAGCTACAGTAATTACTCCCCAGATGATTCCAGCTGATTACTTCTGCTATTAATAAACGCTAATCAAGTATCCCAAGTCTTATGATCCTTATCTCTCAGTGAATTAAAAAGCATGTAAATCACATTTCATGCAATACTATAAAAGTAACTATAGATTTATGAACAAGAGGGCATTATATTTTGATACAATAGGTGGGAACTTAAAAAAGTTCATGAAAAATGGAATTAATGTATGAGTTTACTTTGGTGCAAAAATAAAATGGTAACCTGTGAATTTTTTAAGAGGTTTTTGTGGGTCCCGCAGGTGGTATGGTGGTTAAGGGTGCTGGACTCCCACGTGGCCGACCATGGTTCAAGTCCTGGACCTGGTGGCTTGTGCTCACTCTCTCTCTCTCTCTCTGTCCCTCTCTGGTCAAATTAAAATAAATAAATAAATGAATAAAGTTCGGTAAAATAATTCTTAAAAAAAAAAAAAAGAAAGATTTTTGCTATAGGGCCTGTGTGCTCACCAGCCATACAGAAACAGAGAGACAGAAAGTGAGAAATCACCCCCTGAGGAGGATGGTGATGGCACAATCCCTTCTCCTCCATTCTCCTCTTGGGAGATTGGGTACACACACACACACACACACACACACACACACACACACAAAATGAGAAAGAGAGAGAGAGAAAGAGAGAGAGAGAGAGGGAGAGAGAGGAGAGAGAGAAGGCAATCTACCAGGTCCAGGACTTGACACACACACGCCCGGCATGAGTTTTAAGTTACCCAGGTCCAGGACTCAAACTGTGGTCGACTATGTGGGAGTCCAGCAACATAACCATTATGCAATCTGCTGGTTCCATGATTTTTTAATACTCATTCTGACAAACTTTTTGAATACTCCTATATATTAACTATTGTTAGGTGCTATTTAAAAATGCAGACAAAAAGTATAAAAGTATTTTTATTTGCCTTTCTATATTGTTAGGATGAATTAACACCTGACAGAAGAAAAAGAACAAAAGAGTTAAAACTGTTCTCAAATAAATCAGTTTAACTAGCTGTATCATTGATATCATGTATGAACTTAATGGATTAACAAATAAAAAATGATAATGCCACTAATCAGGAAAAAGCTTTGTAATGCCTTTGAAAGTTCTATATTATTCATTCAAAATACAAGTGAACATTTATACTACACAAGTCTTGTTGGTAATAAATTCATTTGAGTCTAGGACATAGAAAAAACGAGGTCAGAGATTTTTTATTCCTGTATGACCAGCAGTGGACTACTGGTTAATGTTAATATTAGAATGACATCAGTATGTTCCTTGTGTTCAATGCTCAAATTCCTTTCTTTGCTCAAAAAATCTTAACCCAAGAGAGAAAAGTTCAAATATTGTATTGTCAGAAAAATCATGACTTTTTTGCTATGTTTTTCTATGTAAAAATGCATCATGACTTTTCCAATAATCCAATAGCTACAAAATATTACTCAGTGGATACTAAAATATTTAGCTATTTAACTTTTCATTCTTTGTGGAGCAAACATCAGAAACCTGAAACTATCTCATAAAAAAGAAAAGATGTGCAGCCACACAAATAACTTCAAAAAGAACTTTGAGATAGCTACATAAGTGTCCCTTGTCTGTCAAGGCTGGTTGTCCAGCTGCTTTAAAGTTCTTATTAATAAATTTGTTTGTGATATAAAATTTACATAATCTAAATTTTCAACCAATCAAGAATTAAAAGAGCTGCTGTGGTTCCAATTTCTACAGATACCCACGAGGAGCTGCACATACCTCCCCTTCCCTCCATCTGCCTGCTACAGTTCTTCCCTCCCTAGGCCCCACTCTCAGGTCTCCCTCTTCTCCTTGATATAGTTCAAGCCTCAGTGAAAGAGAAGAGAGAGGCCCTCACAGGCCACAACAGTAGGCTGCACCCTGGCGTGGTCTAACTCCCAGGAATTTACACTAGTTGAAGCATCCAAGAATAGTGCTGGGGAGGCAGGGGGAGTTAGAGAAAGTAAAGGACATCCCTTTCCCCTGTCCTGAAAGCCTCTGCTCAATTCTCAACAGCTAGCCCTCAACTCTCCTCATATTCCAGTCCCTGTCCCAGGCATTCACTGACTCCTGGTCAAGTTACCTTCTCCTCACCATTAACAGTCCTAACAGCCCAGAACTAGACAGTGGAACAAGGAGAGCCCCAGTTTTCATAACTCAACTGGGCAAAGATCCCTACTGACAGATCATAGAACTATGATGCCTTCTCTTACAAATATACTTCTTAGTCTAGTATGGCATGCCAGTTCTGTATTTTTAGTACACTTTGGGTTATATAGGCATCTGTGGGCTGGCTAGGCAGTTAACCACTCAAAACAACACTGCTTTGGTAAGAAAATACATATCAAATACCTACTGTTTAAAAACACAGAAAAGATCTGTTTCCCTGTACTATAGTTCTATAAAACTCCCAGATAGGCAGAAATGGAAATGGTCCTTACTTGACACAAAATGAGAAAAATCAAGCCATTGCTCCCTTGGAATACAAACAAGTGGGCTTTATAAAGTAGAATTACCGATATTGAGGGTTTCGTGCCCAGACTCCAGTTCCAACTGACGCTCCAACGATGACCATTAACTTCCACAGCCATATTGGAGCGAAGACGGCCCAGTAACTCCACTGAATGATGCCATCCAGACGAAGGGCCAGCAGCACAGAGAAGAGCAGCAGACAGGCATAGATGAGGAATTTACTAGGAGAAAAGCACAATAATGAAAGAGGATTCACTTTTATAAACATGTGATACTGAATGATGCAGTAAAATGGCAGTATTTTTTAGCACATAAAAGAGTCACTACTCAAACAATCATTTATTGGAAAGTTCGATGCAGTAGACATTCTGTGTTGGAGATAAAAGAAACATAAAGAAGAATTTAGCAAGTTCCTGCCTTTCCAGGGCTTCCTGGTAGGAGAAATTCTACACAGAAAAATGTAATGCAGCATACTGCAGAAATGGTGCTTTGGGCAAGGTTCTGAGGGAGCTAGGAAAAGGAAATACAAATTCTGTCTAAGGTGCTGGGAAGCAGAGAGGTAGACATCCTAGACACGCAGAAATATGCCAAGAAAGATAGGAAATGAGATGAGGAAGCATTCCAGGTAGAAGGAATCAGCCACATCAAAACATGGAGACTGGGAAAGGAGGATATATTCTGATTAAAGTCAAGTTCTGCCAGTGGTGGATTATTTGATTCTATTTTTTTGGCTAAGTGCTATGTTCATATGGCATGTACATTTTAGTACATGTATTACAAGTTTTCATGATTAAATAAATTAGATACACACACACACACACATTCTCATACCTCACATAACAAGGAATTTCTATCAGAGAATGTTCTCAAAATATTAATTAGAACTTATATTGTTGAGAACTTCTACTTCTAGCATTGATGCAACAACAGAAATAGAATTCACCTTCTCATCTTAAACAAAATCAAGATGAAATATACAAACAATTTTCAGACATTGCACGGTAAGCAGTGAGTAACAGAGTGAAGGTGGAAGGAGAGGGAAGGGAGGAGGGTGAGAAACAAAGGAAATAAACCCTACTATTGTCTCAGTTTACTGACGGAAGAGTTTGCAGGTTGCAGAGAGAAGGTAGTTAAAGCCAAAATCTGTCAATAATTACATTAAATGTAAATGATCTAAATATCTTTTTCAAAGAAAAAGATCAGATTGGATCATCAGTAAGACAACTATATGTTGTCTATAAGAACCCCACTTTAATCTGTAAAATCACAGGTAGACTAAAGGTAAAAGGACAGAAAAAGTCATACCAAACACTAACCAAAAGCAAGCTGCAGTGGCTATATTAATATTTTAGTCTATTGCTGCCATAATCAATTATCACAAATTTAGCAGTTTAAAACAACATAAATGTAGTATGTTATAGTTCTATGTGATGGGAGGCCAGATAAGATGGTTGGTTTCTCTGCTCAGTGTCTCACAAGGCTGAAATCAATATGTCTATTGATGGAGTTCATATAAGGAGATTGTGCAAGTCTTATTCAGATTGTTGGCAGAATCCAGTTTCTTGTGGTCATAGGACTGAAGTGTCTGCCTGTTTGCTGGCTGTCAATTGAGGGATGCCCTTAGATACTAAAAGCCTTTCTTGGATCCTTGCACTTAGTCCCCCTACCTATCAAAGCCAAGAATAGCATATAAACTCTTTCTTATAGGTGGAATTTTTCTGACTTCTCCTTTTGCCACAACTCTCCTATTTCCAGTCAGAGAAAGTTCTCTGCTTTTAAGAGTTCACATAGAGTCAGCCTCACAGCACACTGGTTAATCACTGTACAGAAGGAGCAAGATCCCATACAGCACACTGCAGTTTGAATCCTGACCTGGGCAGCTTAAAAAACATGTTGGGCATGTGTGTGTGTGTTGTGTGTGTATACATGCGTATGCATGCCCAGTATACTGACAGGATAGAAAAAGGAGGAAAAAATATTGTGATGTGACCAGGTCCCATTGGGGGTGGTGGGGGAGATGTGATTATAATGGGTCTACCTGGATAAACCAGGCTAATCTCCCTATTTTAAATTCCATAACTTAATAAGCAAAATTCTAAAGATGATTCAAGACTCCAGTCCACTGGTGGTTCAATAAACACTAATCCAAGTACTACTGTGAAGGACCTATGCATATGAAATTAAGGTCACTAATCAGCTGACCTCAAAATAGGGAGATTATCCTGGATTATCCAGGTGGTCCAATGAAATCACATGAACCCTTAAAAGAAGAATAAGGCAGAACAGTAAGTCAAATAGATGTGGTAGAAGAGAAGAAATGAAGGAAAAGGCTTTCAGGGAGATTCCAGACATGAGAAGGATTTGATGTGCCACTGCTGGCTTTGAATACGGAGGAAAGAAACTATGAGCCAAGGAAATGCAGTCTCCAGAAGCTCAGGATGACTCCTGGCTGCCAGCAAGGAAATAGAAAACCTCAGTTCTACAATCACAAGGAGTGAAACTCTGACAATAGTCCAGGTGAGCTTAGAAGCAGTTAATCCCCAGAGCCTCCTGAAAGGTACAATCCTGTTAACAGTTGGATTTTGACCTTGTGAGACTCTAAGCAGAAGACCCAACTAAATCATGCTGTACTAGGATTTCTTACCTAAAGAATCTATAAGACAACAGCCCTTATCATAAGGGAGATGCAAACCAAAACCACAATGAGATACCACCTAACTCCTGTCAAAACGGGTAAGATTTAAAATGGTAAGTGCTGGCGAGGCTGTGATGAAAAGGGAACTCTCCTACACTGTTGGTGGGAATGTAAGTTAGTACAGCCACTGTGGAGGACAATATGGAGGTTCCCTAAAGACCTATAAATAGAACTATCATATGATTCAGCAATTCTACTCCTGTATATCTACCTGAAGGATAGGAAAATGCTCAGTCATAAAAGACCTTGTACACCTATGTTGCAGCATTCTTCACAATTGGTACGACAAGAAATCAACCAAAATGTACATGAACAAATGAATAGATTGAAAAAGTGTGGCACATACACACTATGGAATACTATTCAGCCATAAAAAAGAAGACCCTGGCATTTGATAGAAAGTGGATAAATATAGAAGATTTACTACTGAGTGAAGCAAGCCAGACTATGAAAGAGAGATGTCGTCTGTCCCACTTAATATATACTGAATGTCTGCACAATATAGTGGAAACTGAAAGACTGGAGGATATAGTAGCAGGGAGAATGGTTGTGGATACCAGAGACAGTGTGGGAGGAGGATGGAACGTGGGAGAAGGTAAGAAGGGAATCAAGGAGAAAAATAGAGAGGCAAGACATTTAAGGGACATGGAAATGGAGGGTTGTCTGTTGATGATAATGTGTATGATAGTATCTTTAACTGGACTGGTGTGTAGTGTACTTATGCTGGGAAAATTCATTTTACAAACTGTTGTGATGTACAGTGATTGAATGTGTAAAATAAGTAAATAAAAAGAATCTGTAAGACAGTAGGTTTGTGTAGTTTTAAACAATAAGTTTCTGGTAATTTGTCATGGTAATAATAGAAACTAATACTGTAACCTTAAATACATTTACAAAGTCTCCTTTGCCATGTAATATAACATATTCATAGGCTCCAGAGATGAAGGTAGAGGTGTGTGTGTGTGTGTGTGTGTGTGTGTGTGTATAGTTTATTATTTATTTCTTTCATGAGAGACAGAGATGGGTACCATCGCAGGGTGTCCATGCTATGATTCACACCCACTATCAGCTGGCCCAGATCTCAGGCAAGTGTACACACACCTGCCATGTTCAGAGAGGTCCTGGGATGTGAACCCAGAACCTTTCCCATGTGGATCCTGTGTGTTACCACAGCGCAATCACCTGGCCCCAGAAGTGGATATCTTTGAAGGCCATTATTTAGCCTACTACCTTCATCAAATTATCCTCTCCTTCTTCTCCCTCTTCTCCTTATTCTTCTTCTAAGACAGAGTCTTGCCATGTTGCAACTTCCTGCCTCAGCATCCCAAATCACTGGGATTACAGGTACACAGCACCATGTCCAGCCTTTGGGTTGGACCAGGATTTGAACTCAGGCCTCCCATGTGGTCCCTGTATGTGGAACACAGCATCTTAGCAGCTTCTGCCCTAGCCAAATTATTTTAAAGATCCACTATAATCCAAATGAAAATTCCAGTAGGCTCTTTGTAGAAATTGGCATAGAGACATCAAAAGTCATATGAAAATGCAAAAGAACTATAATAGGCAAAACAATCACGAGAAAGAACAAAGTTGGACAACTTACGTTCTGTACTTTCAAGGCTTACTAGAAAGCTACAATAATCAAGACAATGTGGTACTGGCATAAGCACAGACATGTAGAACATAGAGTGTCCAAAAACAGACCCAGACATACATGGTTGGTGCATTTTCCACAAAGGTATCAAGGCAATTCAATGGGAAAAAATAACCATGTTTCAATAAATGGTACCAGAATAGCTGGATAGATAGGGAAAATGCCCCTTGACTCAACTTCACAACATATATAAAAATTTACGTGAATCATAGATGAATGTAATATCCAAAGCTATAAAATGTCTAAAACGTACAGGAGAAAAATACTTACGACCTAGTTAAGCAAAGATTTCTTAGCTTGTATATAAAAATTGGACTCTTCAAAGTTAAAAACTCTTACTCTCTAAAAGATATAATTAAAGGGACCAGCAGTTAGCGTAATGGCTATGTCGCTGGACTCCCACGTAGTCGACTGGTTTGCGTCCAGGACCCGGTGGCTTAAAACTCACGCTGGGCGCGTGTGGGTTCCTGCCCAAGATTCCGAGAGGAGAATGGAGGAGAAGGGACTGTGGCGTGGCCATCTTCCCGGGGGGTGATTTCTCGCTTTCTGTCTCTCTGTCTCTCTCTGTCTTTCTGGCGAGCGCGTGTGCCCTATAGCAAAAACCTCTCCAAAAAAAAAAGAAGAAGAAGAAAAGATATTAAGAAAATGAAATGCCAAGCCAGAACTGGGAGAACATATTCTGAAACCATGTATCTGACAAAGTACCTGTATACAGTATATAAAAAAGGATTTTTAGAAATAAAAAAAATAAGGGGACCAGCAGTTAGCATAATGGCTATGTTGCTGGACTCTCATGTAGTTGACCACGGTTCAAGTCCCAGACCTGGTGTCTTAAACTCACGCCAGGCACATGTGCGTGCGTGCCCAAGATC